ACCACAATACCGACAAGTGATTAATAAAAGTCAAAAGACCAAAGAGGTCACCTTAATACCAAAAAAAAAAAAAAATATATTAAAAAAAAAAAAAAAATACTAGAATAAGAGAAAAAGACCAATATAACAAACAAAATAAAAAAAATACTTATATAAGAGAAAACCTAAAAAAAAAAAAGAGAAAAATAAACAAGTAAAGAAAGAAAAAAAAAAAAATAGAAAAAATAAATTGAATAAAAAAAAAACATAAAAGATAATTGATATGCTTGTTACTGAAAGAAAAAACCCTTCTGATATAGTTTTAAGTAGTTAGATAAATAGACTATTTCTAACAAAGATAGTGTAACAAATTGCATTTAGGTACCATAAGGGTGGCCAAGCAATGCTAGACTTAAACATTAGGAAATTCTATGTAATTGTATATATATATAGTTTCAAAAATCTTAATAAAATACTAGCATAACTGCTTAAGGTTAAAAATAATAATACACTCTACCCTCGTTATAGCGGACTCCGTTAAAACGGATTCCTCATTATAACGGAGTGATAATTTAAGCCATTTTAAAATTTTTATTACTATACTATAATGCTGTAACGGATATTCATTATAACGGATGGAATTTCCCAGCCCGATCGCTCCGTTATAAAGAGGGTAGAGTGTAATAATAATAATAATCTTGATCTAAAAGGTTGCACTGCCTATAATAAATCTTTTTAAATATATAAACAAAATATTGATTGATATAATTAGTACAAACCAAAACTTATATGAAAGAAAAATAAAAATGAATTATGTAATCTGATAAGTTTAAGTTTACTTTATTTAAGTCAAATAAATATATAAAAGTAAATAAAATATACTTTATAAATTGTATTAAATCTACTGTTAATAAAGGATTTGTAATATTTTGAAAATGAATTAGTTGGTATAAAGTTAGATCATTAATGGTGATCATAAAAATAATGAATTAGAATATTTATATTAATGTTCTCATCCAGTATTTAATATTATAAATCCGTAATGATTCAAATTTAATTTTTCAGCAGAATTTAACTTTGTGTCATAAGTTTGATTATACACTTTGATGACTAAAAACACATAATATTCTTGTTATGTTGACTATTAAGTTTGAAAACAAAAACCTTTACCAAATTTAAAAAAAGATTTAATTAAGACTGCAATAACAATATGCAAACATATCTATTGAACTTTGCATCACTTAATTTTAAGTATGTCTAACCGAGTTAAGATCATTTGTAAAATTAGAAGCTGACATTTTCGTTATTAATTTTTTTTTCTATTTAAATAAAGTTATTGTTTCTTATTTTATTATAAATTTTTTAATAAACAAATAATAAAAAATCGAAGGTGAAAACTCGTGTCTTGAATTGTCTCATGATCAAAGTCCGGTAATTTATTGTAAGAATGTGTATTAAAAACTGGCCATCCCTAACCGTTAAATGTTGAATATTGATCTTTTATTTCATCGCCAATATTAGCCTTTTTTATCTTATTCTCCTCAAATTCTGATTGATATTCTTCTGGATGTTTTCTTTTATTATTAGTTGAATTTTCTAATTTATTAGAAAAATCAGATTTGATCAAATTTTTTCCTATTATAGAAAAATAATCAATCATTGTGATAAAAAAAAAGTAGATATGTTATGTAGGGAAAACAATTACACTGTCTTATCTTTTTTATTTAATAGTTAAAAAAATTCATTACCATTTTTTGTCAGCCGTGCAGTTAAGTCTGCTTTTTCAAAAAAAGCTTCCAAGCCATAAATTTTGCACAGTTCTTCATACGACTTTGTATGAATTAATAATTTATATTTTGGTTCTTTTGAATGTACAGCGTACATTTGCATTAGAGCATATTTTGTGTTCGGCCAGCTGTTGCCGACTTCCAATGCCTAAATGATTAAGAATGTAAATAAGCATAAATATTGAACAACTCAACAGCAGAATTTGATAAAACAAGGAGTATCAAACTTTTTTAATATATGAAATAACAACATCCTCAAGTGGCAAAGTTCCTTCTTGACGAAATATCGAAACATTTTCTTCAGCAGCACGAGCGATCATAATCGAACTTACATCTATATATAAAACATTAATTAAATCGATAGTACTTATAAAAAATAATAATGCTATATTTTACTTACTCGACAATTCTTTTAATTTTACTATGTCCGGACGTTGAAATACATCACCGTTTGCAATAATTGGTATTAACTTTATATTTTCAACAATGTCGTTAAAGATATCCCAATGTCCAGGATCTCTCGGTCTCTCATTACGCGTTCTAATTTGAAAAGATTTCACGTAAAAAAAAAAAAAAAAAAAAAAAAAAAACCGAAAAAAATTTAAAACCAATAACGAAATGATCTACATGCGTACCTACAATGAATTGCGATTGCTTTAACTCCTGTAGATTCTATCATTTTACAAATTTCTATTGTTTTTTCTTTAGTATCTAACATCCTATATATAAATAGGTCAGAATCTAACCATTTAATGTAGACCAAATATAAAACTTGAAATTTCAAACCTTATTTTACAAGTAACTGGAAGACCACAATTTTGCACTAAATTTGTTAATATCTATAAAATGGTAAAAAGTTGATAAGTCAATGCATTCTGAAACATACTAAAAGTATTGTTGAGGATTTTACTTACGGCCTTCAATTTGTCTGGATTTGATAATAAAGCAGCACCCATACCACCTTGTATAGAAAACTTTTTTGGACAACCACAATTTACATCTATCCCAGCAACGTCTTGTTTTCTAAATGATAACAAGAGTAAATAGAATTTGTAAAGGAACCACCGACAATTTAAAATACAATACAAAGATTAAATTAACAATTCTAGAATTTACTACACTTTCAATGCAGCTTTCAATGCAAGATCAGGATCAGCAGTTCCAATCTGAAAAATTAATCTTGATTTTTCAATCGGATGAGTTGTAAACGCCACAGAATTTTTATTATCTATATATGAAATCAACCCCGTCTTTTCTACAAGAAAATTTGAAATATTGGTTATTAATTTACCAGTATTATAACCGGAAAATTTTCCGAATTTTACCATCGAATTGCCGTTCTGAAGCAATCATTTTCTTATCTACTATTTCAGGCGAATAAACTAGATCTAAAAATATAATTAGTATGATATATTTACTTGTTAAAAACATCGGTAAATAAGTTCATACCTGCGCCGTACTCTAAGGCTAAAAGTCTCATCGGTAATGTTCCGATTCTAACCTATAGAAAATGGTGAGTGCACAAAACCTTTAAGTAGAGTAAAAATGATAAAATGTAAATACACACCATAGGTGCAAGAATTATCTTATTTCTATAATCTAATGTAGTCATATTTGGGTATAAATGTCTTAGTGATCCAAAATTTCTAGTGAAAACGGTTCGTAATATTGTTAAAGACTGCATAGTTAAAATTCATCTGATTGGTTAGAGATCCTTATAGTAACACAGTCGGGTAATTCGTCAAATTTTGATTTCATTGGTTAAAATAAAAATTTACTACAGTGAGACTTTTTTTTACAGTGGATTCTTCACTCGGTATACAACATATAAAAAAATTATTTTACAATACCAGATCATCCCTTAGTACATGTTATGATTATAATCCAGCATTATTTTTATTATAATAAAAGGTGTTGGATTATCATAGGCAGAAGTTCGTCTGATTGGTTAATAAATTCAATTTAATTTTACATTATTTATACAGTTTAGAGTATTTTTAAAAAAACAAAAACCAACAACAATAATATAAAAAAAAACTATATAAAAGGTTTTATTAGATCTGCAGAACTTTAATGTCTTAAAGGTAGAGAGTAATATATTGAAATTATATATAAACTCAATAGTAAATTTTTTTTATATTTAATTTTATAAAAAATTATATTAAATAAACTCTTTTCTGTTCACCTCTGATCGGAAAAGGAAAATAAAAACAACAATCATAAAATCACTAAACACAAAACAAATCTAACAAAAAAGTATACCTTAAGAGTCAGAGCCCTTGTATCTAAGAAAAGAAAACTCCCTCTAAGAGTTGAACCTTTATTGACAGAAAAAATTTTTAAAATACAAAAACTTGATATCGAAAAAGAAGAAGTCAACAATCCTTTAGCAGAAGAGTTTGACAACATTTCTTCTGAGTGTGTTCTTGCAACACAAGAAGAAACAGAAGTAGCTAGTGAAAAACTAGTACCAGTAGTAGTAATCCAAAACAAGGAAGACTAATTGGAGAATATTATTTAAAGAAATAACAACTTTCAAGTTTTAGAAAACATGTTAAATCATGAGAACAAAACAAGTGATAAAAATGTAAATAATAATAAAATTAGTTATGGTCAACTACTAAAGGAGAAACAAGTCATACTATAAAGGAACAGCATAATCACAGACCTACTTTAAGCTATGTATCAGCTGCCAAACAGGGCACAAACATGTTAGCAAAATTAAAAAGGTGAAAATCAACCTTTGTAGCTTTTTCTCTTAGAAACCAAACTAAATTAAAAAACAACAATACACTAATTATTGAAATTTTAGATCTTCATAACTTTCTCAATAAAATCATGGCCTCTTTATATGAAGGTTTGGAAGGAGATATCATTGTAGCCAAACAATACTTTAAAAAAGGATTAAGCTTTCATTTAAAAATTATCTTTCCAAATCAAGATCGATTAGCATATTATATCATTAATGATATTAAAATTTTTAATAAAACATATTATAGCTATATCCTAACAGATGTTTATAAATCCTTCTTACTAATTAAAATAAGAAATGTACTATTAGGAATCAAAAAATGCATCTTCAGCTTGGTGAAAGAAGCCTTTGAAAATTTTAAGAAAATTGTCTCAATTAAATCTTTACTTATCAAAGTCACTTCTTATATAACAGATCAATAGATCATCATCTTCAATAATACTGAAGACTCAAAATTAGAACAAAAAATTTCTTGTTTCATATATATAGATGATAACAGAGTAACTACTGAATAGAAAGAGACACTAAAAGTCTGTTATTTCTGTGACCAAACAGGACACATTAAAAAAGACTGTACACAATTTCAAGAAACAAAAAATCTAAGACTATATTATCAAGAATTCAAAAGAAAAAGTGTACAAAACAAAGTACTTATTAAAAACCCAACAGAGGATAACCTATACATGGAAGAAGTAAAAAACCTTTTAAATCAAGAAAAAACCCAAAACATGAACATAAATGAAACCTAGTTACAAGAACAAGTAACAGAAGAAATTACATTAAATCATGATATGGATGGCAAAACAGATACTGTTTGCATAGAAATTTCTATTGAAAATAACCTTAACACAACACAAGGACCAGCAATTAACAACACAAATTTGGAAAATACATAACTAAATAGGCAAGAAAAAGTAGACGACTCTACTTTTATATTAGTTGTATGCAAAAAAAGAAAACATAAGGATTCAAAGCCTTACAAAGTAATCAACAAAGAAAATTACCAGAATGATCCAAAACAAAGAGCCAGTGGAAGCTTTAAAACTAAATAATTTATTTTTAATGAGCTATTACTCAATTAAAATCATTACATTAAATGTTAAAGGCTTAACCAATTTAGACAAACAGACTAAAACATTAACACTCTTAAAATCTTATAGATTAAATATCATTTTTTTACAAGAAACAAATACTTTTAATACTGCCACCCAATGATTTTTAAAAGACCAATGGCCTTTTGACTCAATCTGAACAGGCAGAACAACAATATTAGCAGAAAACAAAATTATAAAATTTAATAATACCAAGATATTACAAGAAGACAGAATAATTTCAACATGTTTCACATTTAAAAAATTTTCCTTTTATGTAATAAATGTTTATGCACCACCAAACATTCTAAACAGAACTGAATTCTTCAACAATTAGGATATAGACAAAAAAGAAAATATGATTAACATTATCGCAGAGGATTTAAACACAAACTTGAACCCAGATATCAATAGAATGAGTCAGGCAACCTCTCAAAATGACTCCTTAAGGATACTACTTAATAAAATTACAAAAAAATTTATCAACTCAGCTTCATTTTTTAAATGAAACCCCTTTTACACATTCCATCAAAATATACATAACAACCAATTAATAGCTACTCAGCTAGATTACATCTTTATAGATGAAAATTATAGCCATCTTAAATTAGAAACTTAAAACAAGATTTGAAAACTCTGATAACCTCCTAGTTGAATGCATTCTAAGTCTAAAACAAAAACCAAGACACTCAACACTATAGAGATTTGACTCAAACTCTTTAAAAATAATACTTTAAAAAAAGAAATCTTGGATAAAATCAAAGATGCTACTTCTGCAACAAGCTGGAACATACATAAAATCTACATCAAATCGATTATAAAGGCCTTTAAAAAACCAAAAGCCCCAGAAAACAAAATAGAAAGACTCAACAAGAAAATTAACTAATTAAAAGAAATTATAGCCAAATCTCCCAGCCAGATGCACCTCTTTGTCACACTAGAAAATCTTAATTTACAGGTCCAATCAGAATTAACTGAACTGGCACAAAGATGACAACATCGATCAAAAACAAACTGGATAGAACTAGGAGAAAAATCAACTAAATACTTCTATTCATATTTTAAAAGTCAAAGCTCATGTTCAGCTCTTACAAAAATACAAATTCTCTCAGCTCAGAAACAATCTAATAAAAAAAAATACTTAATTATATCAAAAAACAATATTCTACAATATATAGCAAAAAATCTAGTTACACTAATACTAAAGAAGTTAAAAGAATTACACAATATAAACAACTAGAAACCCATCTTACTGGTCAACTGTGATGCTAAAATTTTTATGAAAATTATCACCAACAAACTAAATACAATTTGTGAAGCAATTGTACCTTAATATTAGCAGGATTTCATCACAAACAGATTAATTACAGACTCTGCATTGAACATTCTTACAATTTTAAGAAACCAAAAAGATGATACAAAAAAGCATTGGATGCTATTTGTAGATCAACAAAAAGCTTTTGACAGAATAAGTTATAAGTTTCTTCAACTGATACTAGAAAATATAAGCTTCAATAAAGAATTTAAAGATCTAATAAAAAATCTATTTTTTTGACAAGAAGCCCACATTTTAGATTCAGGATATATCTCAAACTCCTTTAGAGTAGAAAGAGAGGTTAGACAAGAAGACCCACTCTTATTTCTTCTATATGTGTTAGCATTTGAACCATTACTAAACATGATAGACAAAAACATAACAGGAATCAAAGTCAACAACCAATCTTTCAAGTGTGCTACATATGCAGATGATCTAACAATAGGCAATAGCTTTTATACTGATTAGACAACAATACTAGGCCTATTCAATAACTACGAAAAAGCTTTTAATGCAAAAATTAACAAGCTTAAAACTAATTTAATGCCACTTACAAACACAGCAAAAGAAAAAACTTTCCCAGAAGAAACTCAATTTAAAAAACTAAAAAAACAAGACTATGTTACAGTTTTAGGATATAGCATTACTGCTAATAGCACATCAAAAAAAGGAATATAGCAAGAAGCCATAAACAAACTTAAACTAAATTTAAAAAAGCTCACTTATAGAAACCTATTCTTAAAAGAGAAAATTATGTTAGCAAACTCACTGCTTCTCTCAAAAATCTGGTATGTTGCCTACCTAATGCTACCAAGCAAGAAGCAAATAGTAGAAATTAATAGGCTTATCACTCACTAGATCAAAAACAACTCCAAAATGCTTTCAAGATATTCTACCTTCTAGCAACTATACGAACAAAGAGGCTTACAAGCATCAATAGTTAGCAATATGCTAAAAGCTAGACTAATCTCAGTCTAGATAAAACTAATTTCAAGTAATCTTTTGTAGGCAAAAATAGAAAAAAAAAGAATCTTTCTTATACTTAACCAAAAAAGAAATATTTCAGCTATAAAAGCACTCTCTATACAACCAATCAGGACTAAAGCATGGCCTATAGAATGGAAACTCTACCTCTTAATATAGAAAAAAGCTAAAGAAGAGATTCTTATAGAATTCAACTGGTTCTAGAATCTTTTAGAACTAGAAATGAATAAGAAAAAAGGACCAGAAATTATAGTTAAACTTATAATAGAACTTTTAAGAAAACTTAACTTCAAGATCACAAATAAATTAGACCCTATAGAGCAAACCCAAAACAACAATTAGATCCTTCAAAAAGCAATACTTAACAGAAAAAAGGACATCTTCTGGTAACTCTTCCACAGAGCCTTACTACTAGAATATAGGCTTCGTCACTTTGTAGCAACAGAAACAGGTAAATACCCTTGGTATTC